AGACTGATAATATCTTTGAACACAGTTTTGATGGTTATAATATCCACGTTGGTTGTAACTTTCCATCCACTTTACTAGGCACAGCACTCAATATGAATATTTTACCTCCGTACGTCTGATGTATTCTGAAAGTGAGTAATGCAAGTTATTCTTTCCAAGAAATCCAGCTTCATTAACTGGAAGTTGAAACACTATGACGCGACACTGGGATTGTTTTTCCTTGAAATATGTTGAAGCATAACTGATTGCTGTTCATGAGAAAGGTGCGTTTAGTGATACAAACCAGCTTTTTTTAAGAGCCAGTAGCTGTGATTTCTCAGGACTCCTGTCAACATTTTAAAACGACACTGCATGACACGACCTAATTACTTCTTTTAAAACAGAGAAAATTGACAATCATCCTCACTTCTGTGAAAATAGCATACCATGTTGGTTTTTACAGTTAATAATAATGTCATCTATACCCTTTATTTGTTCTATTTCCTTAAAAGGAAACCTTGGTGTACTGTAACCCAGGTAACCAGATCATACCTAGTCATATTATTATATACTGTATATATATATATATATATATATATATATATATCGTTTTGTCTTTTACATTTTGGCATAATTGAGATGCGTTTCTGACTCAAGTAAAGCTTCCACTGACTGACTTTCTTCCTTTACATTCCTCCTCTTTCTCTTGTCTTGAATGGCTGATTCCTCCCTCCTTTAGGTATATGAGCTGACTCAGGAGTTCTTCCAGAACGGGAAACCAGTTTGTGCTGAGAGCCAGAACAGCGTCGGCGTTTTTACTCGAGACTTGGTGCGCAAGAAGATTATGGAGGACCTTGAGGATTCTGAAAGCACCAAGAAGCTCAAACTCTCGATGCTTCAACAGTACCTCAAGGTATGTTTGGGTTCTTCACATCCAATCTGTGGATTCTGACAGTGAAAAAAAAAAATATTCAAACTGTTTTTAATATGTTTTTACAAATAAAAAATGTATTAAATAGTTTGGTTTGCATTTGTGCTCTGATACCCTTTAATAAACAATTAAATTAATGCCCTTCAGTTTACCGTGTTCTCCTGTTTTAGCTTTTTTGGTCACAATTAAATATTTCTAATCAGACAAAGATATTTTGATTAAACACAAACATCTATTTTCAAATGATGCTGGAGAACATAAACAACATTTTGTTTGTCCCCATTGTTAGACGATGTTGTATTATGTGAAGTTGGTTAAAACATCTCAAAAAGAAACATTTTATGCCCCAGTCTAAAGAACTAAGAGAACAGATGAGGAAGGGTTTCAGGGACTCAACCAGGAGGTCACAAACAAATCCAGGACCTCATCTAAAGCCCTGCTTACCTCACTGGTCTCCATTAAAGTAAGAGTTCACCTTTAAGAACCAACTGTGCACAATGACATCATTGGGAGAGTTGAAAAAGAGCTGACCAAAATTAACACAAATGACTGAAATGCATCTTGATGATCCTCAAGATGTTTGGAAAATAGTAAAATTCCTAAATGAAAATAACATTTTGATATTAGACCAGTTTGGTTTGGTAGGATTTATTTGTTTTTTTTTTCCTTAATGAATGAAAGCATCATTTGAAAACTCCTTTTTGTATTCACCCAGATTATATGTGCCTGATATTAACATTTGATGATGATCTGAAAAAAAATAAATACATCAATAAAATTAGCGTGACAAACAAGCAAGATAGAAGAAATCTGTAAGGTGATAAGTACATTTTCATAGTACTGAATGTTTGCTTTTTGCAGGCAAAATAGTAGTTTTGTTGTAAATCACAACAGCGTGAGAGTTCTGACATGTTTGAAACGATTCCTCTAGGCTATTTTCTGCTGGGGTAACAACTTAATTTCTTTTCAGTCTTGTTGCGAAAGGGACTTGATGTTTACACGAGTGATATCATATGATGATGTCTTTCTTTAAGGTGGAGAGCTGTGAGAGCAGCTCTCCTAGCATGGATGAGGTGTCTTTGAGTGAGTTCGGAGAGTGGACAGAGATCCCTGGCGCACATTATGTCATTCCTGAAGGCTTCATGAAGATTGTGGACCTCCTGGCCCAGGACATCCCGACACGCACCATCTGCCTTTGCAAACCGGTCCGCTGCATCCACTGGAATTACTCAGCCCAGCATCGAGAAGTCATCGGCAAAGGCAGCCATGTCAAGATGGAGGACAACCACAACGACAACAACCACCAACGTAACGAGGACCCCTTGATCCTGGGTCAGCCCATTTTGGTGGAGTGCGAGGATGAGGAGTGGATCCCAGCAGACCACGTCATCGTGACGACTTCCCTCGGCGTGCTGAAGCAGAACCACGAGGCCATGTTCTCTCCTTCTCTTCCCGAAGACAAGGTGCTCGCCATCGAGAAGCTGGGCATCAGCACCACTGACAAGATTTTCCTAGAGTTTGAGGAGCCCTTCTGGAGCCCAGAGTGCAACAGCATCCAGTTCGTGTGGGAGGATGAAGCTCAGCTCGAACAGCTGGCCTACCCCGAAGATTTGTGGTACAAGAAAATCTGCAGCTTCGACGTCCTCTACCCGCCAGAGCGCTACGGCTACATGCTAAGCGGCTGGATCTGTGGCCAAGAGGCGCTGCACATGGAGCGCTGCGATGACGAGACAGTGGCTGAAACCTGCACCGAGCTGCTGAGGCGCTTCACAGGTCAGGACACACACATGCAAGCACAGGGAACCGGTCATCTGTTTCCTCACTTCATGAGCCTTCTCTAGATAGACAATCTTTCAGTGAAAGCGATCGTCTGGAAAAAGCCTTGGATGACTAAGAGTGAGAATCTTTATGAAGTGAGTCGTGAGTGGGTCATTATCTGGGAGTTGTTACGGCATAACTGATCCTGTGATATAATTTGCTTTCCTAGAAAACCAAACGTTTTACAAAGGAATCAGCTGAATGACTCAGCTGTACTACACCCTGAGGAAGTATGTTGCTTCATTACATTTTGTCACACTACATCCACAAGCTTTAACCTATTTTAATGTGATTCCGTATGATCGACGAATAAGGCAGAGGAAGAAAACAAACACACGGTGTCAGCATTTTTCACAGCTAAACAGCATAAAAAATAAAATCCTGTCTTTCGTATGGGACAACTGCAGATAGAGAGCAATAATAAAATCAAAGCAGCCAAAAGTCCCAGCAGTAACTGGAGAAATCATGGAGGTCCACAGCTCAGATGGGAGAGTCTGTTTCTCAAAAGAACCTCTGTAATGATCACAGACGCAGAACTGAACACTGAGTATGGATCACCGAGTAGATAAGACAAGCCTTGTTCACATTTTTAGAGGGTGAACAACTCAGGGAACAGTAGCGTAAGGGCTCCAACGTCATTGCAACAGAACATGTAACCTGTTCTCTGAGCTGATTTACTGTGTGCTGAATGGCAGTAGGTCAGGAAGGAAGTACAGAACACACACAAGTCTGACTTCTTCCTCTGAACTAGGTCACAGTCCAAGTACAGAGGCTGTATGTGTCACTTCATGCTGAGGTCAGTGCACTTCCTATTTATGTGTAATGTGAATTACACAAAAGTCATTCTCACACACACACACATGCACAGAAAAATGGACTTTATAATGCATCAAGTACAAAGCCACACATGCTCACTCACGCACACACACCTACACACACACTCTCCTCAATTAGGTCAGTGTGTTTTTACTTATGCAGCTGTAGTTTAATTACATACATCCTCACAGGCGAGCCTCTGTTTGCACTCGACTTCGACTCGTTGAACTTTATCTTTCTTTGCCCACAGTGGTTTGATCATGTGATATGCTGGCATATAAGCGACAATATGGCTACAGCTTTTTACGTCACTTTTTTGTTTTTCTCATCTGACTTGTCTGTGTCAAAATACAAGATTACAGCATCAATCCCCCTTATATAACCTGATTTTAGATTAAGTAGCCAAAAACTGTACTCAACTAACTTCAGTAGAAGAAAAAGAACCAACACAAAACATTAGCAGAAAAGTATAAGGGTACTTGGGTATTACTGTGTAATCTGATTTAATTAGTTAAAATAATGTAATTATACAGAAATAATTCAAATGTGCTTGGTACTTAATTATAATAAACGAATAAGAAAATATAAATAACATCATCATAAGAGAAAAAAGGGGCAACAAAACCATAAACTCAGCATATAGAAAATAACATGAAACTTTTTTACAAACCTTAAGTCTCTCGCATTCATGGGTTTTCTTGCTATAGTTCGTGCTTTACTTTGCGCACCACAATTTAAGAATTCAAATACGTAGCAAATACACTTCATTTTAGTGATTAAACTGTTTTTCTTGTACTTGCGTTCATCCCTTTTACTGATCTGTAGCTTGACTACAGTTAATGATTCAGCACAATGTCATAGTGAGTCATATGCTGACAAGCCCATGATAGTAAACATGCGTATATCTACACATGCAGTCATATGATAGATTAGCAGAATCTATGCCGTCGTAACAGTCGTGTCCTAATTTCTTCATCACCTATCAGAGCTACAAACCTCGGGCCTGACTGCAGCTTCCTCTGTGTCAGCATTGATTTTATTTATCACTATTGATTTAAGATATAAGATCTTACACTTAATCACCGTGCATATACCCTTTGTACATTTGAACTGAGTCTGACCTGTCCCACCTGTTTGAGTTTCACGGAAAGCAAACTGTATTTCATTTGAACATTCAGTAGTACATATGCTGACCTTTTCCCTTCATGTTGTCTGTTGATAGGGAATCCTGACATTCCAAAGCCCAAGCGTATCCTGCGCTCATCTTGGGGCAGCAACCCCTACATCCGAGGCTCCTACTCCTTCACCAGGGTCGGGTCCAGTGGACAAGATTGTGAAAGCCTGGCCATGCCGCTGCCTTATGCCAACAGCACAAAGGCTCCGGTAAGACAACTGCACAAAGTACATCTCATGTTTTTCTCATTTGCCATGCACTCAAAACAAATCTTTTTGTCAGAGGACTCACAATCTAAAAACATTTGACCCGTTTCGTCACTTTGAAACCTTCAGCGTGTTTAATTGAAATTTTATGTGACAGGCCAACACAAAGTATTACATAACGTTGTGAAGTGGAGAAAACACGTCATTTTCAAAGGTTTCTTTCTGAGAAATAAGAGTGCTTCACGTTTTCCCCGCTAAATAAATTCTCATGCAATCGATTGCCTTCAGAAGTCTAAATACTACAGAATGTTAACCTGTAATTTAATCTCAGTCTCAGTCCAGTTGTTGTGTGAAGGCTTTAGATCAGGGGTCCCCAAACTTTTCATGCGAGGGCCACATGACTGTTCCTTTTTCTGGTCGGGGGCCGGTCTTAGTTTTTCAAGAAAGAAACCTTAGAAAAGTTTTGTTGACGGGGGGTGGGGGGTTGGTTGGTGTGAAACTGTGGAGCGGGGGGGTTATTGGATTACTGCCGACGACATATTCGCGTTTATAGATAGATTTTTACCCAGAATGCAAATGGAAAAAAACCGTGAGCGAAACGGTGACTGGTACTGACTAGTATATATTACATTGAGGGAAACTAAGTTTCATATCTCCTCAAGAGCTCCCCTGGTGGTTGAAGAAAAATCCACATATATATGAAAAAAAAACACTGAATGCTCTCTGGTATTGTTCAGGGGGCCGGACCAAATGAGGAGGCGGGCCAGATCCGGCCCGCGGGCCGTAGTTTGGGGACCCCTGCTTTAGATGCTTTTTAGAGAACATCAGTGGACAAACAGCGTCATGAAGATGAAGAAACAGCAAACAGATCAAGGAGAAGTGGGGATGACAGCAACTAAACTGACAGACCAGGCAAAGAGACTCTTAATCAGGGGGCACCTCTGGAGGAGCTGCAGAGATCCACAGCTCAAGTCTAATATCTTTTTTTTGATTGAACAACTATTAGCTATGCACTCCAGAAATCTGGCCTTTATGGAAGAGTGGCAATTAACAAAGACATTAGTGAAAGAAAGAAAGACTTTAATGTTTAATGTTGTCAAACCATCTGCAGGTGTGACAGCAGCAAAATGTAGTTCAGCTAATATTGACTCAGGAACACTGCGAAACTGAACACCAATTAAACACCAGCTGGAAATGCATACCACACCATTCAGTTTTTTATTTATATATATAAAAAAATTTTAAACTGTGTCATTTTCCTCATTTTGCACCACTGGGGTTTGCAAAACAAAATGGTTGTAAAATACATAGAAAAGGAAGGAGTAGGAGCCTCGGATGTAGGGGTTGCTGCCCCAAGATGAGCGCAGGATACGCGATTGTAATGTATCAAGATGTGGAAAAGTTAATGTTCAGCTCCGTAAAGTTCAGATAGAGTCATCCTAAACTGGGTAAATATATGCATAGATCTAATATATCTTTACGTAGAGATCAGCAACCGTCACACCGCCACACATTTAGAGCAAATGCTGTCAGAGAGCAAATGCTGATTGTTACCCACGAGGCTGCAGCATGAAACCTGATGATTCTGGGTGAAGAGGAAGAGGAGCTAGAGGTGGGGAGTTCTTCGTGTACATTTGACACTCCTGCAGGAACAGCATGACCTCTCTCAGCTGAGAGAGTCCTTCAGGCCAGCCAGGCTAAAAATCACACTCAGGTCAGCACTTCAACAAGTGAACCTCCAACGAGCGAAAGAGAGATAGAAGACGGTGCCTCTGGGAAGGCCATAACCACGTCTATATGATACTGACATCTGGATTTGTTCTCTAACATGTTTTCCCTTTTGTCTCTCCCCTCCCCCGCTTTCTTCTGCTCCTTTCTTAGCCGCTGCAGGTCCTGTTTGCAGGAGAGGCCACCCACAGAAAGTACTATTCCACAACACATGGTGCTTTGCTCTCAGGGCAGAGAGAGGCCACCCGCTTGATGGAGGTGTACCATGACCACAAAGCCTAATACAATCTATATAAAGATATTGAGACTCCAACTAGTGAAAAAAATTACAAACCATTGACTTAAAGCTTTCTGTCTTAACGATTAGGTTCCATGTGTAAGCATAGCTCGGGCATTATTACACTGATAAATGAGTATTTTTCACGTACTGTAGGTTTTAAATCAGCTTAATTTTGTTTTAAATGTTTTGTTTAAACAGTTATCAACGGTGCTGTAATTTCTTGTCTTGGCCATTCTTTCATGATGCTGTTACTGTTTTTTTTTTCTTTTTTTCTAAATCAGGAATTTCATGTTCATAGCAGCGACATCTTTAATTTACCTTTTTATAAGTGCCTTCTGTATTTAATATCATGTTTCTTCGAAAATAATGGAGATAATTAACAAAAAAAGTGCAAATTTTAACAAAATAAAAGTTCTATGATCATTCTTCAGCTTCATAGCTTTTTATATGAAACTGTCTCTGCTTATCGATTAGCTGTCAAATATAACACCCAAAACATCAAAAGAAGGTGTTTTAATTGACCAAAAAAAACAACAAAAAAAAAACTTAACAAATACCAGTGGTTTTTCTAAAATCACCTGAGTGCATTAAACATTAATACGACACTTTGTTGCTGTATTTTAAGTTCCACTGAAACTCTCAAAGGAGTTTTACAACGTTCAGCATTTTGCCTGAGATTACTAAATCGGTCAGATTAGAGGATTGTGTGGATGAGTGTAAGCTGACACTTTGTTTTGTGTCGGCTGTGCACTCTCCTCCTCTATTCAGACAGGGAGAAAAGGAGAGGAGAACCCTGGGACAAAGTTCTGGCATGAGTCCTGCTCCGGCAGAGGAACACGTGAGGCTGCAGAGGAATTAACAATTCAGCTGCAGCTTCACCATCACCAGGCGGTCAAGTCTCCTGGCTTAATAAAGTTAAAAGACACAGTTTTAACAGCTTCGCTCAACAATGTCAGCTGAAAAAAAATAAATAAATAAAAAATCACACATATCTGGGCCTAAAATGATATGTATTTTATACTTAGTGAAACCTAAATGATAAATTTCTCTTGGTTAGTTTTTGTCTGAAAGGAGTGAGTATTATTCTATATTTTTTAAAACTTTGACACAACTAGATATTTTTCAAGACTTTGTTGTATTAAGATAAAAGTCAAGGAAAGTGAACATCTGTGGAATATGCCAACTTTTTGAAAGTAGCAAAGCTTAAGAGAAAGTGAACTTCTTCACATTTATGCATTTAACATATTAAAATAAGGATTTTTGTTTTTTGGCTCTTTGTTTGGTGGTGAAGCAACAGGAAAGCAGATTGTGAGAAATGGGGAAGATGTGGCAAAAGTCAACAGGCGGGGCCTCAAAACCTGAGGCCTTCGTACATGGGTCACGGGGTTTTACCCTTGCGCCACCGCCGCACCCAAAACTGTCATTCTTTTCTTGCTGCCCTGGTTTCGTCATGTCATCTTGGCAAAAGTCACTTTCATTATTAGTTCTCTGTTGGAGGGCCATGTAAGCCAAGTTTATTTGTGTCACAAATTTCAGCAATGAGGCAATTCAAACTGCTTTAAATGATAAAAACATGCAATAAACAGCTAGGGGCATTACACTCCAGTGGCAAAGTAAAGAAAAGAAACTCAGCATTTCACCATTTTTTGCTGTTTCCTGGAAGTTTGTTCCAAATTAGAGGAGCATAAAGACTGAATGCTGCTTCTCCATGTTTGGTTCTGGCTCTGGGGATGCAGAGCAGACCAGAACCAGAAGACCGGATACAACGACAACAAATTAAGGTATTTTGGTGCAAAGCTATTCGGTGATTTTGGTGAGTCTTGGCTGATGAGCCCTATTTTTCTCAATTTCCTTTGCATGTATTACATGGACTACACTGAATTAAGGGCATGAGGGTAAAGAGGACCAGACATGTCTGCATGCAACTCTTTTCAGGCTTTTATTTGTATTAATTTTGTTTGATATTATTCACTAATTGGACCACTTTAATACCTCAGTACATACCAACTAAATGCGTTGGTGTTTGCTAAAGCGTGACACAATGTGTATGTTCAAGTGTAAGACTACTACTAAGGGAAAGTGCTGTAAATAGCAGAACTTTTGATCCTTTCACAAATGATTTGCTCACAAGAAACCAGGAAAAGCCCCTGACAGGGAGGTCTTTGTGTGACAAGTGGCTCGCACAAGTCAAGCTCTTTGTTGTTTCCTGTGTGACATGCAGCCGAGCTTCCTGAACGCAGCTTTCAGGCACACCACCAGCACAACTACCAAGACACCTTGTTAACTTCCTGCTCGTCTGTACGTGTCGACTTTTTTTGTGCAAATAACCAGACTTCCCTCATGTTAAAAGCAAGGCTCACAGCTCAGATTTACTGCACATACAGTGCTTGTAGCTTCAGGGAGGAGAGTTAAATTTAAAGTTAAATTCGGATCTCGTGTGGCAGATTTAGGTGGTTGGTAAAGTTTCGGTGGGTTTGCAGTCGTGTCATGATGATCTTTCCATTTTCTGATGAACGACTGAACAGCGCTCCTTCACGTGGTCAAATGTCGAGGTATTGTTTTTTTTAAGGCAACTCCACTGAAAATTTCTTTACAAGATTTTGCCTGATATTTAGGATTATCTGATGGGGCCTTGAGTTTCACGTACATGTCTACGTTCTTGTATTACAGAGTTTCGACTAGAATCCCAGAAAGGTTGTATACCAATTGTTTTCGGGTCAAATAACTGGTGTAATGCAGTCAAGGCCTCAGACATATATCAAATATAGTTCATCTCGTATAAATATATAAGCATATATTTCAAGAACAAAAAGAGGAAGTACAATTTAAAGCAGTTTTATTGATGACATCAAATGAATGAAAATCCATCTATTGCAGTCATCGTAGAAGGCTGTTTGATCTTTTTGGAAAAGTTTTTTTGTTCTCATCAACAGAATTCATGTGTTCGCAGAAATTGGGATGAATCACCTGTCGATGGCAGTAAGAAACAAACTAGAAACTAAAAAAAAAAAAAAAAAAAGAAAATGCATTTATAATTGCCCTGCTAAATGTTGAGGTAATGTGTAAAACACACTTCAGATGAATGGGCAGAGTACAATCGTTCATACATAAAATATATACAGAAGTACATTAACACTCACGCAGCTTTCTTCTCCTATTGCACGGCATGGTAAAAATGTTAACAGAGGACACTTAAGTCAGTTACGGTTCAGGCATGATGCGTTGAGATAAGGTAAGTACAGATGGAAGCCAAAGATTCAGGTTTTTCCAGTGTCACTGGTACCTTTACGCCGTAGTTTCATGGCGTTTCGCGGCGTTTACAAAGAGTCCGTATTCACAACCAAGCGAGAGTACCGTTGATGCGAGTGTGAAATTTACAGGGTAGAAGTAAAGCAAAGATGGCAACAAATACAAATATAAGGTCATACTGGCAACTCAAAAAGCACTTAAATGTAGTTAAACGAGAACGATAGGTTCCAGTGTGGGAGATGTTGCCTGTTCTCAAACAGAGATAAGCAATTTTTATTACTGTTATTTCCAACAATCAAGCAACAGACGTCCCAGAAACGTCTGTCCAAATGGATGACCAACGGGCCATGGAAAGTGTTCAAGAAAGGAAAGTGCATCTTTTTTTTATTTTTAAATACCCGAAAACATTAAAAACACTCTTATAATAAACATCTGAAATAGTGTTTTTCTCTATAGTGCAACAACAGACAGGATCAAATGAAGATTATTATTAACCTGCAGGCAATCAAAGCTCTATAAACATCTAATTGTTTTTTTTTTTTTTGTGTGTTTTTTTTTTTTTTGCCACAGTAGCAGAACAGTTAAAAAGGCAACTCAATGATTGATGCATGAACACAAACATGCCAACATTATACTGTACACAGCGCTCTTTTTTATATAGAAATAAATAGCTGAATTATCATCTTTAACCTTTTTAAATAATCTCCATCTCTATATGAATCTGATGCACATTTAATATAAAGTATCTAGTACACAACTGCAATTTTAACACTACTGTTAGACATAATATAGTTCTCTATGCGTAATTATTCATTGGACTCTAAATGAAGACCTGTAAACTTCAGTTTTTCCACTCCGACTCATCACCTTATTAGAATAACATCAAATGTCGGTCTCTCTCTTTTTTTTTTTCAGGAGTTTTTTTTTTTTTCTTCTTTTTTTCTTTTTCTATATACAAACATTATATACAGAGTAGCTGATAATGAATGCAGGATTGTCTGAAACTCAAAATCAACAAGTGCTTTGTGGGGAGTTTTCTCTACTGTGAAGTTTATCTCCTCTGTGGTGAGCCTTTTTCCCTCAGGTTAGCCAGCAACCAATCCACATCAGAGTGGAATAAAAAGAGGGAGAGTCACAGCTTGCTGAATACTATATGTGACCATACATATAATTTAACATGTGCTCACGGTGAGCATGTCAGGCAAAGGGTTCCTACAAACTTTTCCTTTCAAAACTCCGGACTCCGAAATGTTCAGATTTCTCATTTCATTTTCAGGCAGTTTTTCCACAGGAAAGTGAAAAACAGGTTTTTTTTTGTGTGTTTTTTTTCCATTTAGCAAAGCTCAAACTTTTTTTTAGCTTGTTTAGTCAAGGTGAAAATTTCAGCGCCTCATCATATTGAGATAACAAAAATCTAGAGCTGATTATATTATGTTCAAATGTTACTTTATCTGAAGATATCAAGATCCTGAGCTCAATATACCGTGATAGAAATTTTAGTCTTGTTTTGATAGGAAAATGCCTTGAAGATTTTTTGTTGAGATGACATTATCAGTGCTTTATGCTCTTGTCCTAAGATCTGCATCTCATTTTCTCATTATAATGCTTTCAGTATATCATAACCTCAAGAAATATTGAGGGTTTTTTTATGATTAGGGTTTCCCTGTCTCATTATCTAGAGATAATACAATTTTAAGCTTGTTTTTAATGCAGTAACAGTTTCCGTGTCTTTATTTTGTCAGTAGCGAGATTTTAAACTCACTTCAAATATTTTTGATCCTACTATGCAGAGAAAAATGAATATCAGGATACTTTGTGCTTAAGATATGGCAGTTGTGGTAACATTTTTCATCTTACCATTATCTTGAGATAATGAGACCATGGGCTTGATTTCGCTATCGTATCATTTACCTAATATCCAAAGCTCAAATGTTTTAAATAGCTGGCGTGTTTTATCAATCCCCCCCAAAAATAAGTCACAACATCTATCATAGCCCCATAAGTTTTTGCAAATGTCATGCAAACTCCACTCTTGTAAAGATTATGTCGGAACCCTCTAAGCAACCTGCAGCAGAGGAATGGGAAGGACTGTCATGTTCAAGTGATTTCGTTTCAATCTGTACTCAGATTTTGTGCATGTTTTAGAGAAAGATAAAATATTGCACATTATTAAAGTTCGAGATAAGGAGAAATCAGTGCACCAGAATGCAAAACATATTTGGTCCGAAGTAGGGATTACATTCTATCAAATAAAACAGTGAGTCCCTTTTTAAGGCCTGGCAAACACACACCTCTAACATCCAAAACTTTGAGCTCAAGACAGAGCCATCGGATCAACGGGCTTATTGTTTCACTGCAGTAAAGCGACACTGGAACCAGAAAATGTGTAGAGCAGTGCAGTCTTCAACCCCCCCCACCCCTCCTCCAAAAAAAAAAAGTACAGCTAATTAAAGTTTGAAAAAATTTCTGCCAAATCAATTTCCTAACTTGAAGGGAAGCCCTGAAGACCTGAAGCATAAGACCTGGATCCCTTAACGTACAGGTATCAGCTCCCTTCACACTAGCTGAGATACTGGGTGGAAGAAAACATCAGAAGAGGATTGGAGGATGTCACCTAATGAATTAGAATGCAGAGAATAGCCCCTATGATGCAAATGGCACTGTTCAGTATGAATACAAACACTAGAACACCTGTACACACCTGGATAATTTGCTTTATAGGAAACACAAACACTTTATATTCAGTTTGAGCTGCTTCTGCTGACAGCAAACTTGGGTCCAGTCGGGACACTGGTGACTTGCCTGGTCCCTCATCCTTTTATAATTGGCACACCGGAGAAGGAAACACTGGAAAAAAAGACGAACGTCGCTACAAAATGCAGCAGCGACTTAGGATACTCCGTACATGTCCTCTGACGCAAACAGGTCCAGAGATTACAACAAAGTTCATAAACACTGAATCCAGTTTGTTCTCATACAAGGAAGCAGAGGACGGTACTGGAGGCAAAACCCCAGCGCTACCATGCACTTTCAAGATAACATGGTCCATGTGTTGCTGCAGGGCGGGAGCCCCCCCCCCCCGCCACCCTTTCTGTAGTGCTTGGAAGCAGTGCATGTTCACACGCTTGGATTTGGCAAGTTTTGGGGACAGAGTGCGATAAGCATTTATTTCCTCAACATCACACCTAAGCATAAAGCTCCCATTGCAACCCCTTAGGAAAAAAAAAAAGCCTCGACCTCTTGTGAAAACAGACGCTTGATGGACGTCTGTGGAAAATACGCACGTCCCCCAATCTTGTTTCTGCAGTTGACGTTGAAGCTAGTTTGCATTAAGCAGATGCGGAAAGTGAGAATGCAGCGTGGAGACACTCCAAGTGGCTCCACGTTTAGAGAGAGATTGTGGATGAGAGACAGTTTGAACGCAGCTGTGTTTCTTGAGTTAGTGAGGTTTATACAGTCTCTTGGTTGGGTATCTACTGCCTCTGAAGATCACCAACACTTAGCACATTTTCATCAAATCTGGTTCTGTTTTATGATTTTTTTTATTTTTTTATTTAGTAAAATATACTTGGTAATCCTGGGCCTTCATTCATTAATAAGATCTTTCTTGGTTCTGTTTCTTGTGCTCCAAATGCGTCCAGCCACCAGGAGGTGGGCTCAAGCTACCTGTGTCCTGCGGATCAACTCATGCTGTGGTCGCACTGTCCAGCAACCTGCACAAAGGATGTTAGCAGAGGCTGTCTGCTTTCACGTGGAGGATTTTGGAGAAACCCGGTCTCTTCTTTAGAGCCTGAAAAAAAAAAAAAAACAGAAAACAAAAGGATAAAAATAAATCCCTGTGAAATTTGTGGAGCGCCACTAACAGATTCTCCCAATTTAGCAATGGATCGCTGCAGCTCGACAGCTACCAAGGGCCTGATTCTCTGTCCATTCCTGCAGGATATTCAGGATTATTGGTATAAATGAGACTGAGAATGATTCCATGTCACAATTTATATATATATATATATATTTGTTAAAGCAATACAAAATCATGCATCATTTTTAAAATTGTGCACTACCTTGTATCAGTCTGCCGCATAAAATCCCAAATAAGTTCACTGAGGCCTGTGAACATGACACAGACATGTGTCGACTTCTGTGGCGACACAGAGGCCAATGCAAGTAGGCATTGACTTCATTGCACCACACGTCAGTCTGACACATCAAAACAAAGCCTTTCATGTCTCTAGTCATGGGTGTTATGAAACCAGCTCACACAGTCAGTCCCACTCATCCAACACCAATAGATTCAACAACTGAATCAAGAGTCAATTCTGACAAAAAACAGATGTATAATTTCTAGCTTGCCACAGGGACATTTTCTTTGCACACGTGTCAGGAACTATTCCCTGACACGTAAAAGGTCAGCTTCTAAAACTCTAAAACTTTAGGCCATCAGTGGTTTGGAAAGTGTAGGGACACACCGCTGTGAGACACAGAGGTGTTGTTTACCTGCAGCTTGTTAACCATTTCATCAAACAGCTTTCTGGCTTCTGGGCTGTTGGGGTCCTCAAAGTAGTCTTCTATACCAATCTGAACCACGATGGATTTCAGGTTGCGGCAAACACCTGGTTGGAAGGAGGATTTGTGGATGTAATTCACATCTGAAAGTTGTGCTTGGTTGGGAAGATTTAAATTAGCGCTCTAAAGTAAAAGCTTTGAAACAGAAAAAAAATATATAAATACATAAATAATTGGCTGCGTTGTCCAGAATTTGACATCGAATCGTGTTACACATCAGTCTCAACTCACTGTTGAAGTGGAGCAAGGCTTTAGGGGTGACTGGCGTGGATGAAAGCACCAGCATCTCCAGACCCTTCAGGCCCTCCCTGCAAACCTCTGCTGCCACCTCCTGGTTGATTTCGCTCACATGGTCCAACTCCAACACCTGCAGGCGCATGCAGTTCCTCGCTGAACAAATGGGAAAGAGGAACAGCCCACATTCAACACAAGGACCAAGTAGGAACACGTTTTAGTACAACACATTCACCCAATTTATTTTTATGATCTAGATTTTCAAGAAATCACGAAACAACGCGATCCCTGAAGTCGGCTTGTGATTCAAAAGAATCAAAAACCAAAGTAAACAATATGTTGACACAACTTAAGTTCTGAAAAAGAAAATCAAAAATAAAAGGCATCGGTGACATACAATCAAATAATTTTCCTGAGTTCAGATTGGATTTTTTGGATTTTTAAAGCCATATTTGTAAGAGTACACAACGCCTGGTTGCCTTGCCAACAGATGCTCCCAACTGAGATCTCTAATTAATGTTCTCAGGGCAACCACAGAGGCCTTGTGGAAAGTATCACGCTATAAGAATATTTTTTCAGGGTACTAAATAAAACAAAAACACCATCATTCTAATGTATGTTCAATATTTACCCAGTGAGGCGAGTCCCTGAATCCCACATCCAGCTCCACCCACACCAAGAGCACGGAGATGTGGCCAGCATCTTCCAATCGTCTGCAGGCATCGGTTGCTGAAACGTGCTGGTTGTTGACTGAGAGAAACAAACACTCCAATGAAAACATAATCACCAGATTGGTCTTTCTGTTATCAATTTCATGTCTGATTACTAATTAATGTTCCATCATTTTACCATGGATGTAGGGGCGCCACCTGCAGAGAAATAATATCTCTACACCCTGCGCCAAGGGCCCAGATAACCTCCTGGCCAACTGGATCTGTGGCACTCCTGCAGCCAAAAAAAAAACAAAAAAACCCTGATGTATGTTTGAAGATACAGTTTGAAGATAGCGGCTTCGTTTACCTCACGTGAAATATAAAACAAGGATAAAAAAGACAATGAGGTGAGATTCATGCTGTAACATTTTAAGACAGGTGGGATCCGATGGCAATGGTTCACCTGTAGGTTACGGCCTGGAGGGCTCGGCAGTAGCAGCTGGCCAACCATAGGGAGCGATCAGTCAGCAGGTTGGGACAGTGTGAAATCTTTAGTATCAGCAGGTTACTTCCTGTGGCCTTTAACAACGCCTCCAAACCTTCCTCAAGACAGCCACTTTTGACCGAAATATAAGAGAAGGTCACAAGAGAGAGAGAGAGAGAAAAAAAACAGATGTAAAAATAAAGGTCACTTTTAATCATACTTCACTTCTAACAACGTCAGGACATGCTCCTGGGAGCTCTGCTGCTGGCGCTTTTTTTTTTTTTTTTTTTTTCTTTTTTTTGCAACAATCATCAGATGCATTCAGCGGCGTACAGCATTTAAGAGAACTTTATGCAACTAAATGCGTGTCCTTCATACAAACAACAATCCACTCGAATCAAACCTCGTTGCTTGTTTTCTTCCGGCAAATAAAAGCTGATATCCACATGCTGGGAATAATTAAACCTCACACAAACGTCAGCATACATCACTCGTGTTCTCTCTGCTGGCTTTCCTCTCATCAGTCACTGTTCAGGAAATCGCTCGGTGCGTCGCTCGGCCACAACAGTCGGGCAAACAATGGGGTTAATCAAGTCAAGGCAGCACACAGAGCAGGAATAAATAGGAGGAGGAGGAGCTAAAGCTGTAATCTGCCTACAACAGTGAACGTGTCGGTGTCTCACCGTGTGCTTTTAAGGTAGTCCTCCTTGGATTCTTTCTTGCCTCGCTGCCTTGGTTTAAGGTTTTGTAGAATGAGGGAGTGCGTCTGCGTGCACCACTGAGACAATGTGGTCAAAAACTAGAGAAATTCATACACTTACAATAATTACACTGTTCCACAATTATTTCTCCTTGAAACAGAGGACAAAGCGCAATGACAAGCGTCGACAACGCACCTTGGAAGAAATGCGAGCGTTTTCCAGCAGCACCCTGGTCCACACAGCTGGGTGTCGGGCCACGAACCTCCAGTTGCGGCAGACCTCGGCGGTTTTCAGGAGGGTTTTGGTGTCCAGGTAGGTAAAGATGCAGAAGAGCGCTGCACGCATCTTCAGGATCTCTGGACTTATTACCTCGTTGGATTTCGATGGGCTCTTTTCGTGGCGGCATGGCTTGCTGTAAACCACGTCAGATCGACCTGTAGCAATAACACAGACCTTTCAGACCTTTAACATTTTGTTATTACAAAATAACACAAAGATCCATCCATCATGTTAATAAAGACTGAAATAATTGTAAATCTACAAAGACCAGGGAGAGCGTCACTCACTGCACACTAATTCTGGCAGACTGAAAGAGCAAACATTTAGTCTGATTTAATGTCAGATAAAGAGGAAGAAAGGGCTGTGTGTTTTTGTATGTATGGAAATATCTGGTTTCAGGAGTTCCTAAAATAAAACACGTTTAGTACTCGTGTTGCTTTGTAGAACAGAACATCTTAAAAGGTTAACATTCTGTGCCATAAAATGTTGAAAACTGCTTCTCAATTTAGATCCTGTTAGACTATCTTATACATTTTTGCTTTGTCTAGTGCTTTGTTAATTAAGGTCGTCATCATGTGAGACGTGTGGAGTGGCCCATGATGATTAACTGATGATGATGATGATGATGATGATGATGATGATGATGATGAATCAGCTAGCTTTAAGATGAAAAAAGAAAAACTATCCTCAAATGAGAATTTATTTTGTTTTTCTAACCTGGGGAAATTTAGACACATATTGCAGGTAAGATACTGACGGTTATAAGTCACTACATAGAACCCCATATATAAAAATGATTTAATCTATTTCTGTGTAGTAAAACTGAGAGCCTTTTGGAAACAAAGCATAACAATAACTCTGTTATGTATAACAGAGTTATTATTACAGCATTAGATGGGATAGATTATCCCATCTAATGCTGTTGTTACAGTGTGTTTCAAAGCTTGTTTTAATTTTTTTTTTCCTTTCTGGTACATTTTGAACTTTGTTGCAATTCTGAAAGTCCCTTTGTTGTTATTATTATTATTTCACTCATTTGTTTTTAATGGGATCTCCTTATTCCTGAAGTCGCATGCCCCTTAAAGTGTGCAATCAGCTAAATATCTATAGGAGATAAACGTTTTGTCTTCACCATCCTGTGGCAAAACCATTTTTGTCACATGGTGGCGCTAATCTCCAGCTAAAAACCACAGAACCAGAGATTGCATAATTAGTTTTCTGCATTTTGTACTTTTTACCCCATCTAATGCTGTTGTTACAGTGTGTCCAATCCCAGCCTGCCGTAACCCTCGCAGCAACATTTCTCCTCCATGACTCACTTCATCTTTGGCCTTGGGAGGCATCTGCTTGAAACCATCAGGGCTGTGAACCAATGCATACTATTTGACTCTTTCTCTCTCTCTCTCACTCACGCACACCTCCTACACTCAAGACTGCCAAATGAACTAAAAAAACAAGCCTGTGTGCTTGCAGATACATACCACACAAACAGCTCTGGCAGAGTCTCTCCTAATAGGGAGAACTACGTCAGAGCAGAGAGGCTAGCAACATGTTACATGAGACAAAAAAAACAACCTTTTCAGCTAATGAGGAGGCCAAATTTATACATGTGAATTTGTCACTGAGCCCCGGCCCAGTTTCTTTCAGTTCCAGACTGCCACAGTCCACCTGATACGTCCACAGCAGACGGGGAACGCAGAGTGCAGCAGCAGGGTTTGTAAGGAGGTTGGTGTGGGATGATGCTAATAGAAAAATGCACAATCTGTTGTGCAGCTGAGCTGTGCAGCAACGACTGGCTAGCTAGTCTCTTATATAGGAACTGCAAGAGATGGTTTATTAAGTTACTTCCTTGTGTTCTTGAGAGCAAAACTGGTTGAACAATGGATGCAAAAGTTGGATCATGACATAAATACAGTCAAGTGCAAAAGTATTCATACCTCTGGGACTTTTTTGTCAGTTTGTGAAGTTACAACCACAAACTTCAGTGCACAGCACTTTGATTTAATGTCATCAATTACACATGATTGTGAAGTGGAAGTAGAATGTCTTCACAAGTCATGTACACAGAGTCCACTTGTGTATAATGTAATGTCAGTGTAAATCCAATGGTTCTGTGAAGGCCTCAGAGGTTTGTTAGAGAACATTAGTGAACAAACTGCATCATGAAGACCAAAGAATACCACAGACAGGCCCCAGAGCCCAGCTCTGGAGAAGCTTCAGTCTGGGTAAAGTTAAAAAACAGTATTCTAAGCTTTGCACATCTGACATCTACTTAACTTATTATCTAAAAATGGAGAGAGGATGATGCAACTCCAAACCTACTAAGACAGGAAGAAAAGAGCACTGAAAGTTCAGTCCATTTACACTAACGTGAAACAGATAGCCAGAGATACAGTGGAGTTGTTTAGGTCAAAGCATATCAATGAGACCAAACGGTCCAGTTAAAGTGCAGACCTAAATTAAAATGAAAATCTGTTGCAAGACTAAAAGGTAGATGTTGTCCTCCATCAAATCTGACTCAAACTGATGAAGCGAGGGGCAAAGGTTTAATCTCTAGATATGCAACGCTGGCAGATACATATCCCAAATTACTAAATGATAAAATAACATCTCAATACAGCTGTAAGTCAGGGAAGATCAGCAACTGCCAGTTCCACGGTGTTCCACTAACCTTTGAAGTCAGAACAACATCCAGAACCCTTTATTGTTCGTATCATTAAACTCGCCTTGGTGGCGGGTGAAGAAAATACCTCAAGATTGTGACTATTTTGCAAACAACTGTTACCCGTGTTAGGGCGATACGCTGCCCTGCTGTGGTGAGGATAGGGTACTGCAGACTGCTGAACCTCAGCCACAGCTCTGCGCTCTTGCTCCCACATCTCCACTTCAGACTCGGTGGTCCGCGAGCCCACATCCGACACGTCTCCCTCCTCACCCTCGGTGCTGTTCCTGTACGGTCGCCGCTGCCAGTTCTGAATGGCCTGCTTGCGAAGACCCCAGTTTCTAGACCCGCATCCCGGGGAGCGCTCGTAGCCACCCTCGCCCATGCGGCACTGCATGTGATAGTACTGCGCCTCGGGACAATCCTCCATGGGATGCATCTCGACGCTGTCGCTGTCGTAGCCTCCAGAACCCTGCGAGACAGACTTTATCCTCCCTGATGCTCTGCAGAGGAACACAGGGTATTTCAACATAAATATGCTCTTCCTGCTTCGAGCCAAACACATCTATAACATCTCATTCTAAAAGTTCACTTTAGTCTTACTAAATAACAAAATAAGCTTGGCTGACTATTAGCATGATGAAAGTTTTAGAAACATAAACATGAACCAGCACAGAAACGTATAAGAATCAAAACCTCTCTGAAATCTGCGTTAGAAATATAAAGCCACAAATTACAAACGAAAAAAATGTATTGCTTTACTCAAACCAGAGCATGTAAATCTCCGTTTTGCACAGAAAAATCTGTCTGAAAATGACAGATTGTGTTTTTAATGGGGGTCAAGTGAAAAACGGTTTCTTGGACCAGCATCATTACCACAAGTTTGCTTGGCGACAAACAGAAATTCACTCCACAACAGAAGGAAGTATTCCTCTAAACTGTGACAAAACTACCAACATCTACCATAATTTAATATGCGAACACAAAAACCTAATCTGGAATTAGAGAGCAAATGTAAAACACCTGAATCAGAACAGAAGACATGTTGTCTTATTTTGCCTTGGAAGAAAAGCCATGGATAATCTGCACCACATGCCAAAATATTTCCCATTTCTCAGATTTATCTTTGCAAGCCATGCTTGCACTGATCAAGTCATATTCAATAAGTCACAAAAACAGCTCCCTGTTTTTCTAAAATGATGCCTAACAACAGCAAGGGTATAGAATGTATTGATCCTTAGCGAGGAGCTATTATTAACCCAAGACAGGAGGCTCAGACGAGTGCTTCTGGCCACAACGTGTGTCTGTGTCTGTTCTTCTGTCAGTGATTCAACGGGGAAAGCCTGACGTCACTACAGGAAATACATTCACTTCCAACTGGGAATGACAGTTGGGTTAGTCAGAGTACTACGGTACAGCCATGTGTCTGAGGTTGGTGCCAGAGACCCAGAAATAGTTCAGTCACACCTCAAATCGGGACATCAACCCCGTGTCTCAGTGCTGCTACTGAGGGAGACGCTAAAACTCCAGTACACTTCCCAGGACCCAACAAAATCCATCATGTAGACAACACAAAACAATAAATCTTAAAGGTTTATCACATAACAGCATTGGGTAAGAGGTCGAAACCGCTGCACCTCCAATAAAGAGAGATTGTCCTTCTGACAACAGTGAACAGCTATGTTGTGATGCTGTAAATTTTATTGTTGTAGATATTTTCAGTCTCGCGTTAGATTTGGGCAAAAAAACAAAAAAAACAACTGTCTATTGGCCAAATTTAACACATTTAAAGGTTCTAACTATTTTCCTGATCTTTTTTTTTAAATAAATAAATAGATCAAGGAAGCATGAATTACCTATTGTTTACATGTGAGAAAATCAACCTGTTTTTCTTCTGTTTTTGTCTTTAGATTTATCTGGAAAAAAAAAAAAATATATATATATATTTCAAACTTCTGGTGACAGTTTCTGACCTACCCTGTGCTGGGAGAAGATCGTCTCTCTGACACTTGGTACATTCCTCTTGTGCTACCAGAGAGGCTGGAATTTCTCTGAAGAAAAATGACAAATAAACAAGTGAGAACAAAGAGTTAATTTGTTTGGAAGAGATGGAAATCTTGGAAAAAAAAAATCAAAAATGTTCATTAGTTTTGGAATCTGGAAAACGTCTGAGGGGGAAGTGGATCATTTTTCAGTATGGTGCTGATTCACAACTCACTAAGAAGAAAGTGCTGACCAAGATGGAACACCAACATTCCTGGGGCTAAGCATTATTAATGCAAAGATCATTTTGAAAGAAAGAACTAATCAAAAACAAACAACCCACCCGCCCCCTTAAAAAATACGAGAATTGAATATCCAACAAGAATTGTAATGAAGTGTGAAGGACAGTTTCAGTTTTAGGTGCCACGAAACAAAACCTCTTTACTGTAAAAACACTTATAAGACTCAGCTGACACCTGCTACTACTTTCTACTTTCTATTATATTTTCCATGACCCCTGCCAGTAACAAACTCAAAAATCCTACCCTCTGTTGTGGGAGTTGCTACTGCAAGAAGACGCAAACATGGCTTTTTCAGTGTCTGTAAGATGTTTATAAATGAGGACAGAAAAAACACAGAAAGTGTCAGAAATTCTTTAAAAGAAAAGTATTTTATTTGGAGTATGTCATCTGTTTATTCAACTTCAACAGAGAGCTAGACTCTGGTGCTTTGAGTGTCTTTCACTTAGCTTTATTTTTATGTTATTTTATTTTTTTCTTTGATAGCCTGCCACAGGCTATCAATTTACATCTAGCCTGGAGACATTAAAACTGGGGAGGAAGCTCTCTTTTGAACTCAGCCTCTGTCTATCATGGTGAAAGCTGATTTTGGAAATAGTGGCAGAAGAGTTTTCAAGTCAAGATATTCCTTCTCAAAAAAACAAGCATGGATACCAATGATTAAAGTTAGAAATCCTAATGTGCTAATTATGCTAATTGCTAGTAAAAAACAAAGCAGTGTTAAATGTCAACTTCCTTGTTGGTTTGTCTTTGGATTAAAATGACAAGACCCTGTTGTTCTCACACATACAGTGTCTAATGTAATGAGCACTCACGGCAGGAAGGTTAGGAAGAAATATTCTGAAGTTGGTTATTATGGTGATGAAAAAGTTCAAAAGGAGATAAAATCTGTACTGGTGGATAAAAATCTGATGTTTTCTTATTTAACTTATATATATATATATATATATATATATATATATATATATATATATATATATATATATATATTTTTTTTTTTTTTTTTTTCTTTTTTCATTAATAAAACTTTAAATGTTTTTATCCAAAAAAA